ATAATTCGTCAACCTATAAAGATTTAGTTATGACCAGGAAAAGGAGAGTAGATAATTAGCCTAATAATAAGATAACTTGCAAAATTGATATATAAAATGAGTGTTATTTATATAAATAAACTTATGACTATCCTAAGACCATCATAAGACACCTCTCGTGTAGTCCTAACTGTATGACCAACTTTAAGAGATGTTCTAATTGAGGACAACTTTGTGAAATCAACTTAGGACTTAGATATGTCTTAAGACAATCCTAAGACATGTCTAAGTCCTAAGACAGCTTTTGAAACTGGCCGCAGATCAGACTAAATTGACATTACTTTTTTCGCAATTATATAAACCTAGTGATGTCTGAGTTGAATGGAATGAACATGATATTTGTTATGCAAATGACAATAGTCAACCATTCTCGACCGTTAGCTAATTTGGCATTTTCAACTTTTTTTCTATACCAGCGTCACTGGTGAGTCTTTTGTAGCCGAAACGCGCGTTTGGCGCATTTACTAAATTTTAATCCTGTTATCTGGGATGAGTTTATTTCCAATCACATTTTATACCAATCAAACGTACGTGTTTGTGACTGTTTTATAGAAATAATAACATTCCTTCACTTCTTTCATATCCCAACTATCACATCGGTTTGGCGTAACGATCAAAGCTGATGCCTTGTATATAGTGAACGTGTAGCACTGTCCACGTATAAAAGAACACCCACAACATCCTTTGATAGAGTGTAAATAAGACAACTAGTATAACTCTTATCTGTTAAAGTCATTTATTTCATTCTTTTAACAATTCATTTTTGTATCGTAGTTCTCAGTAGTGTGTAATTTATCCGATTTCATAGAGGTCACAGCCTTTTAACATGTGTTAGTTTAAGTATAATTGTATTATGTATTAATAGGTTGGTGCATTTTTTGTGCATATTTGTTGGCAATTTAGGTCAGGTCAACAAGTAGAATTAATTAGATCAAATTCTTGGTGCATAGTTGGTGCATTCTTGGTGACAAATGTTTATACAAGGACTCTGTTTAGAGATGAAAGAATTGAAGGCGAGAACATGGAGAAGGAATAATACAATATGAAACGTTCGAACGGATTATGTTATTCTATGCAGATTTTGGCAGATATTGGGAGGACCATTATAGATTCATAGAAAGGTTGTGCTACATTACTATTCATTTGTATTTAATTTTGTGTTTTTTTGTCCGCACAGTAAAGGACACTGTTGCATGATTTTTTTCTGCATAGTATTGAACACTATGCGTGTTTTTATTTTTTGTGTACACCGTATCGGTCATTGTTGCCTAATTCTTTTATATACGGAATGTAACGAAATCCGTTTGTGGAAATTTGTGAAAGTAATGTGCCGTGAGTGCCTGACATTTTTCTATGTGAATCTTCGAATCATATATTTTGTAAACTGTATCTTATGTAAATATTCGCCTGGAATGGACTGATAATAAACAATAGATTAGTTGATTTACTAGTATATTTTCATTTAACATCTCTGAATTATCTGTCGTCAAATTGTCCGTTATTTCAATGTACCCGGCCTGACGTGAAAGTTTTATGATACTCGACCGTCGTGGCATTTTTGCTGCCAAAAGTGGGATCCAACAAGAACAAACAGTGACTTTATATATTTCAAAATATGGATAACGAGATAGAAGACGTGTTTTAATAGAAGATTTAAACAGAAATAAAACTCAAGTGATAAAGTTAAAGTTTATTCCGATATATTGTTGATGTTGAGAATATTGGTCTGGTTTCAATTGCGTAAGCAGATGATTTCAGTGTTACACCATGTAATTAAACAGAGGGACTTTCTGACGATCAGTTAACTGATTTACTACACGAATTAAGATTTATTACTGAAGAGTTAGTGTCAGGAACTCCTCTTTAAAATACAAACTGTATTGCTGTTAGTGACAGTGAAGATGACAATTCTTCTCCAGAAGCTAAGGTGGTAGACACAACTACAAATACAGAGATTTTGACTCTGATGACAAGAATATTGCATACATGGATGGGAGTATGAAGACAACTAGAAACAGCACTGTCTCCTATTCAACAGGAATTGATCCAGAAACAATAGACTTTGAACATTTGGCAATAACTGTAATAGATTAAATTTCAAAACAATTGAAGAAACAGAACGTTCGTTATGCTTGTGCTAACACCTTATAGAACTTACTGTGATTTAGCGGAGATAATAACATTTGTTGCTGACAATTCATTTTGTGATTTACTTAGATAATTTTCTTTTTAGAATTATTTTTCATATAACTTGTTTTGACATTGCTTTGTTTTTGTTATCAAATTGTCAGTATGCGAACTTTAACGAGCTTTACATTTGTTTTATTATTTATTGAAATGTGTTATGATAATTTCCTGTGGTCAATTAAATCCACATGCTTATAGAAAAGATGGAATGACAGAGTGTAAATAAGACAATATTACTTTTATCTGTTCAAGTAATTTTAAAAATTATTTTTGTATCGTAGTTATCAGTGGTGTGTAATGTATCCGATTTCCTAGAGGTCATAGCCTTTTAACATGTGATAGTTTAAGTAGAGTTTTACTAACTGTATTAATAGGTTAGTGCATTTTTGGTGCTTATTTGGTGGCAATTTAGGTCAGGTTAACAAGCAGAATTTATGTCAAATTCTTTTTGCATAGTTGGTGCATTCTTGGTGACCAATGTGTTCATATGGACTCTGTTTTAGAGTTAAAAGAATTGAAGGCGAGAAGGAACAATACAATATGAAACGTTTTAAAGGATATTGTTATTCTATGCAGATTTTGGCAGATCTTAAGAGGACCCTTTTATTATTATTTTTTTGTGAAAGTAATGTACTGTGAGTGCCTAACATATGTTTATGTGAATCTTCGATTCATGTATTTTGTAAACTGTATATTATGTAAATATTCGCCTGGAATGGAATTCTAATTAAAAAATAGACTAGTCGATTTACTAGTATATTTTCATTTAACATCTCTGAATTATCTGTCGTCAAATTGTCCTTTATTTCAATGTACCCGGTCTGACCTGAAAGTTTTATGATACTCGACCGCCGTGGCGAGGTCCTCATTGTTCCTTTTGATGGTATGTTGGACGGTGTTTTTTTTTCTCTTTTTTTCTATCATGCTTGCATTTGCCAATGACAAACGAAAGACTAACATTTTTTCCAGGAAAGCAGTTTGTAGAACGAATCTTTGCCCTTCCTTCATTAATTTGCTTTTTCATGCACATGAAATATTTGCCACTGAACAATAAACAAGCAACAACCAATCAATCATTAGCTAAGAAAATTAATAACAAGGCTAATTGATATATAAATATATCACTTTTATCTGAATTCGGGGAAAAAATCTTGAATGGAACTCATATGTATAATTCATTTTATCTTCTTATCCGAATTCGGATAACAACCAAGACGAATTAATATTAAATATAGATATACTTATCCCAATTTGGATAAGGATACTCATTGCATACTTAACTCTGTGAGGTAGGCAATCTATACTTCTTATCCGAATTTGGATAAGAGCAGTTATTTCTCCTTGGTAATCTGTTTTATCTCTTTTATCCAAATTCGGATAACGCAAGTGTCGCCTACCAAAGTTCTTATATCAGAATTCTTGCTTATCCGAAACACCCATTGACTTGAGCATATGGAAATGCTCAAAAGCAATTGGAAGCTGTTCAGTGCAATTTTAAATTTAGTACATGTGTAATAATTTATGTCGAGCCTAAAGCTCGACATAGGGATAGTGATCCGGCGGCGGTGGCGTTAGCTAACTTCTTAAAAGCTTTATATTTTAGAAGGTAGAAGATCTGGATGCTTCATACTTTGTATATGGATGCCTCATGTTACGAAGTTTCTGTCAGTCACATGTCCAATGTCCTTGACTTCATTTTCATGGTTCAGTGACTACTTGAAAAAAAAGTTGATTTTTTGTAATGTTAAATTCTCTCTTATTATAAGTAATAGGATAACTATATTTGGTATGTGCGTACCTTGCAAGGTCCTCATGCCCGTCAGACAGTTTTCACTTGACCTCGACCTCATTTCATGGATCAGTGAACAAGGTTAAGTTTTGGTGGTCAAGTCCATATCTCGGATACTTTAAGCAATAGGTCTAGTATATTCGATGTATGGAAGGACTGTAAGGTGTACATGTCCAACTGGCAGGTGTCATCTGACCTTGACCTCATTTTCATGGTTCAGTGGTTAAAGTTAAGTTTTTGTGTTTTGGTCTGTTTTTCTTATACTGTATGCAATAGGTCTACTATATTTGGTGTATGGAATGATTGTAAGGTGTACATGTCCAACTGGCAGGTGTCATCTGACCTTGACCTCATTTTCATGGTTCAGTGGTTATAGTTAAGTTTTTGTGTTTTGGTCTGTTTTTCTTATACTGTATGCAATAGGTCTACTACATTTGGTGTATGGAATGATTGTAAGGTGTACATGTCTAGCTGGCAGGTGTCATCTGACCTTGACCTCATTTTCATGGTTCAGTGGTCAAAGTTAAGTTTTTGAGTTTTGGTCTTTTTTTCTAATACTATATATGCAATAGTTCAACTATATTTTGTGTATGGAAATATTTTATGATCTATATGTCAGTCACGCAGGTTTTATTTGACCTTGATCTCATTTTCAAGGTTCATTGCTCAGTGTTAAGTTTTTGTGTTTTGGTCTGTTTTTCTTAAACTATAAGCAATAGGTCAACTATATTTGTTGTATGGAAGATTTGTTAGCTGTACAAGCCTGCCTTGCATGGTTTATTTGACCTTGACCTCATTTTCATGGTTCATTGGTCAATGTTTAGTTTACTTGGTTAATGTTAAGTTTATGTGGCAGTTGTAATAAAGCTTTATATTTAGGACTATCAACATAATATCAATGATTAGTAAAGAAGGCGAGATATTTCAGCGTGTGCACTCTTGTTTTTAGGAAAGTTTAGTATAACTGACTACTTTTATATTCCAGGTTAGCATCAGGTTTCCATTGGGTTACTTGCTGGGATAAAGCTGTTATAAGGTGAGAACTTATTCATCAACATACAACTTTAATGTGTTTATGTTATAGTGTGATGAATGTCACTAAATAGATTTCAATTAAAAAAAATAAGTATTCAATCTTTTCATTTTAAAATAATGTACCCTTTAAAGCTGCTGAGTGAGATACTAGATCTGAAGAAGATATATGACGGGGAGATAACATAAAATCAGATATTTTTGATACTATATATTTTTGAGTAATCAATATAAGTAATAAACAAATTGTTTAACATACACTGATGTCTGTTTCTTTATTCCCGTTAGATTATTTTAAAATTAAGAATCAACAATTGAAATTTAACTTTGTTTCTTTTTCAGTCGAAAGAGTTGCTGTTGCTGCCTTCCTTGTATGGTAAAATCCTCGGACTAAGGCCTTAGGCCAAACACTAAAAGGGATTAAAACAAATCCCCTATTAAACAATTTAAGTACTGAGTTTTTGGTGCAATATGAACTTGAAATAAAAATGTTTAGTTAGATGGTTTGTTTTGACTCTGCATTCTTTACATTCATACAAATTAATGGCTGTCAGTTTTATTTATTGGTTTTGTTTATATATCATAAATGCATTATTCAGCATCTGAGACCACTCAAGTGAAAATAATTACATAGTTTTTGCAGTTTGTCATATTTTCTAATTTTTGTGTGATTGATTTCTATATTTTTTCTCATTTATGATTATTTATATTTTAATGTTTGATTTTTGAGGCTTGTACTCAGCTTCTAAACAATGACCTCCCCCCTCCACATGTATAACCAGGATCCTGTAAAAGATGTTTTGATTTTGGAAGGATAGATGGATAATTAAAAATGCAAGATTTTTTTAATGTGCTAGTTCATAATGTAAAAGTCTACATCTAACCCTACCTGAACACATTATTCTGACTTCCAGCTGACCAGTCTTTGCTCCTACTAATTGCTGAATGCTTAGCAGGGGAGCATCAAATACCAATTTTCAATTCTTTGATGTGACCCAGGGCAGGACCAAATCCCATGCCCATCTGCACTCATGTTGAGCATAAAAAGGTTATATAAAGAAGATTTGTCTGTCTGTTTGTCCATCATCATCTCTCATCCACAGCTTATAAACTATTGGAAGGTTTTCTTTAAACTTTCAGATTATCTTCTGTATCTATTATGGCTGTGTGTATTTTATTTTATTATAATGAAATTTTGGGGTTCTCAATTGTAATGAATGGACCTCCTAAGTATTTGAAAAAAAAGGGAAAGAAGCTTCTCATACCACCATTTTATCATGTGAAGGATAGGTTGGTTTAAATGTGTTTGTTTTTAATCATGTTTTTAGTAGTTGGATCTCATTATGACAAAATTTTAATGACTTAAATTCAAAACAAATTTGGGGTTCACACTGATATATATTACCACTGTAGCTTTAATGTAAATTTTATAAGGCTTTGCTATAACAAGATTTGTGTTTTATCTGGTTTTATCTGATTTTAGTGGTTTTTATGTGATTTTAATTATTTTTACTGTCAAATCTTGTTATACCAAGCCTTAGTATGATTGAGTTTATATATTTTGATTATACATGCAATTCAAAATATAAATTTACATAATGAGATCAGACATTTATTATACTTTTAACTCTTCTTAGTGGATAAAATAGAAAAATGAATGACCATAAATATTGAAGTGGTCGTTGAAGATTGACCAAATTACAAGATTTATAAATGCAGAATCTTGCTCTAACTAAATCAATGTTCTTATTAGCTGAACCAACCTATCCTTCAATATGAGTAATAAAATTTTATAAATGGAAAAGTCCATTCTTCGATTGGGGAACCTTTGGATGTGAAAAAAATATACACAATGCCAACAGATACTGAAGATTATTTGAAAGTTTAGGCAAAAACAATTCAATCCTTTAATTGTGATTGGAAGTTGTAGACGGATGAGCAAACAGATGATATACTTGCTTACTATGGCACATTTCCTAAAGGATATGGACTATGGGTATGGGTTTTGGTTGAAGGCTGTAGGTGACTGATAGTTGTTAAATTCTATGTCATTTGGTCTCTGGTGGAGAGTTGTCTCGTTGGTAATCATATCTCCTATTTTTATTTTATATGAAATAATTACTTATTACTTCCTGGGCAAAAAGTTCTGGTTCCAAGAAAATAATAAAAAAAAATACTTATATCATACATGTATTGTTAAATAACTATCCTACTTTTATATAAAGAATTGACTTTGGTTAGAAATTGGGAGGAATTATAAAGAAACTTTATATACAATATAAGAGCTTGGGGTTATAAATGTTTAATGAAATGCAGTTAACTATTTCCTTGGTGATCTAATCATTTTTGCACAGATCACGATATTAGTTTATTTAAATAACCCAGTAAATAAATTGAGTACACCTCATAAATGAATTTGATTCATGTATTTTTATGCATTTTTTATCTTAGTATTTACCATTGTATTCCTTGTTATATTTGTAAATGCCTCTTCGTATGTGACAAACTGAGGATTCATATATTTTATGGAATTATGTAAATTTATTTTAAGTTTGGTATTTAAAAGTATTGGAAAGCACCAAGTTTAATATTGAGCAAAAAAAATATTCCTTTAAGACCTAAGGATATTAAAATTTAAGACATGTATCTCAGAACAGAATTGATTTTCTAAATTCAATTTAAACAGCTAGTCTGGGAACTGGTATCAAGAAACTAAAAAGAATCCTCAGCTCTGTCAGTTATTTTGTATAATTGTAATATTTAACCAATGATACCTTACCCATGATGCAGATCCTTTTCCTCCTTTTACTTATAAAGGGACTAAAAACTTATTATTATTACTACAATTTCTTTGGTATTTGTACACACAGAATGGGTCTGGTTTCATTTGGGTATTTTATATTATGATGCATGATAATGATATAAATAAAAAGGTAAATAAAAATTTAATTGAGAAAACCTATTTTATATTTTATTTGAGTCTGAATGACAAATAAAGGGGGAAGAGGTTTCTGTGGTCAAGAGTAACACACAGCTGATTTATTGTATGGTATGGACAAAGTTGAAAAAGCGAGACTTGGTCATGCTTTTTCCATAAGCAGCAGCTTCAACAATGTATTTGATTGTGATAAGTTCAAGTTAAAGAAAACAACTAGTGGTAGGTCAATGATATTTGGTATGCAGTTATATAAGCATTGAAACATCTTATTTCTAAGGAGATTATTTTGCTTCTCTCCCTCAGTCATAGTCGACTTAAAACTTTTAATTAGTTTACATGTATAAGTTTGTGATTAGGTCAATTGAAAGGGAACTATAAGTGGTATGTCAATGATATTTGGTATACAGATGTATAAGCATTGACAAATCTCAGTTCCGTAGAGATTGTTCAACTCCAGCCTCAGTCATGGTTTATTGACTGAATGTTTTGCATTATTTACATGTGATTTTTGATTAGATCAGTTTAAGATGAGTGACTAATATCTGATATTTGGTATGCAGTTGTATTGGCATTTGCAAGTCTCATTTTCATAGAGATTATTTGGTCCCACTTCCTTATCATGGTTCATGGACTTTGAAACTTTCCGAGTTTAACAAGGAACCAATTGATAAGTCAATGGTGTTGGGTATGCAGTTTTATAAGCATTAGCATTTCCATGGTGTTTTTATTTTGCCCTGAACCGTCAGTCATGGTTCATTGCATAGATAACAAGTTTAAATATTGCAATTTAATTTCAACATTTGCATTATACCACCAAAAAACGCAAGACATATCTCTGTGTCAACAGTTTATATTTCCATCTCTTGGTATCTTTCAACATCATGTTTTGAGTTTTAAATATCACAGAAACTTCTTTGCTAGTTTAAACAAGACTTGACACAAATGATACTTAGGAATTACATGACAGAAATGTTCATTGGACTTGCTGATTACCTGATTGGCTGCCAAGTCTTTAAATAGATCTAGAATTCTAAAATGATCTAGTTTATATAAAGGCTCATCAGATACAAAACACAGGGACACAGATCTAGCAGTGGATGCTCCTGATATGAAACTTCATAATCCAGACTGTAGAAGAATGAGTTAATCAATATCTTGTATGCAGTTGCCTTATGGTCTGGTTTAATCTGGCATATGAACATTATCTTGATTCCATTTTTAAGGGTATGTGTACATTACTTGTTTTCAAATTAATTTGACAGTTTTTATGTGTAATTAGGACAATTAATTCTCTTATGGTTATTGCCTGTGATCTATTTCTCACATGAAGAGATATATTTTGTATCACATTGCATGGATTCGGATAAGAAAAAGGTTTACAAAAAATTTGTTAATTTGAGTGGCTTATCCTGCACCATTTGGTCATCATTTAGGTTCCATGATTTGGTCTGTTCTCGGTCAGATTCTCTAGGTCAACAATGTATGGTGTACAGAATGATTGTAATGTGAATATGATTGTCTGATGAGATACATCTGACCTTGGCCCTTTTTTTGAAGTGTTTTCAACATTAAGTTTTTATAGACTGCAAAACTTTTGCCTTTTTATAATGGTGTGGATATGTCGTCATTGTGGTCTGTAGACATATGTTTTCCAGCAATAACCTGAGTATAAGTGTATAGATCTCAAAGAAATAAAACCACAAGGTCCCATACCACAAAAGGAAGGTATGAATTTAATTTGGGGTTATTGTCCTAACAGTTTAGGAATAAAGGTTAAAAAAAAAAGATTTTCCGGGGTTTCCAGACCGTAACTTGAGACTAAATCTATGGATTTCTATGAAATTATTATACAAGATTTCAAACCAAAAAGGGAAAGTTGAAATTGATTTTGGTGATTATGGCCCAAACTGTTTATGAATTAGGAACCAAACAAACACCAATACTTTGTATACATTATTTGTTTCTTGACCAATTTCAATTTCGATGAGAATCATGTATTCTTTGGGTTCTTTAATATGCTGAATCTGTTACCATGTTTGTGTATTTCTGTTTTCGAATTGGTTCACATTGAGGTCCAAAGGGTCCAAAATTAATCTAAGTTTGATTTAAACCTAAAATGGAATTCTTTGGGTTTTTTTATATAATCAAACTGTGTATTTAGATATTGGGCCCATTATCAAATTGGTTCACATTGAGGTCCAAATGGTCCAAAATTAAACTTTGTTTGATTTAAACCAAAATTTTTAAAATTCTTCAAGTGTGGTTCTTTGATATGCTGAATCTGTATTTTAGATTTTGGATTTTTAGCCCTGTTAACAAACTAGTTCAAATTGAGGTCCAAAGGGTCCAAATCAAAAAATTAAAAATTGAATTTTTTGAGTTCTGTGAAATGCTGATTTCTTACTTATTTTAGATTTTGGATATTAGGGTATAGGTAAATGTATTTTTGAATTCTTAGACTATTGATTTTTTTGGGAAAAAAAGTTTGTTTCCAGTTTTTGGAGAAAAAAATAATTTGTTTATGACCCTGAGAAAAAATTTTTTTTTTGTTTCACCCTCGGCTGCCACTATATGTAATGCTAAAATTGAAAGAAAAAAATTGTTTTCGACTTGTCGCCAAAAAAATAGATTGTTTTTCGCCAAAGTTTGTCCGGAAAAAAGTTTGTCCGGAAAAAAATCCATAGCCTCCCCCCACCACTTCGTCCTCGGTTAAAATAATCTGAACAGGTCCATATATAACGTATTGACCTCGTCAAAAGTCCATAATCGATAAATATTTCGGCAAATGACATCTGGAATATGATTAAACTACAAAAAAGTATTGGTTTGTCTCCCTTGCAATGCATATGTTATTATTCCTTAGATCATAGTATTTTTTTCAAGTCTGCAACATTTTGTCATTGAAGCTGTAGCTTCGTCAACAGTTAACGTCAACGCTCCGTGTAAAATATCGACAAATATAATGCCTACCCATGTTAAAATGAGCATAGAGCATGACATGAAGAAACTATTTCGTAAATAACTTTGTCAAAGTTCTCAAATTGTAAAGGGTCTAAATTAAAATCAACAGAATTTTTTGATAATTTGCATAAATAAAGTTAATATCTTGCTTTATTCTTTTTTTTTTTTTATAATCTACAAGTTGTGTTAAAATTGTCAGAATTTGTATAGTTGATAAATGGAAAAAAAACAAACTTTGTGTGATAGACAGAACAATAAAATGTATAATTTTAAAACGAAATATGAGAAGATAATTCTAAAAATTTGCTTAAAATGTGAGAAAATCAAAGTCATGGGATTTGATTACTTGCTACACATGATGTATATTTAACAAACGTGGTAAGTAAGTTTAAGTGACTTATCTCCCCTTATTAGGCTTAAGGTGCGTTTACACGGTACGATTTTCCATCCGATTTTCAATCCGATTTTATACCAACGCTCAGGTAAATCGTACAGCGTCCTGTTTACACGTTACGTTTTTCCATCCGATTTTGAACAGATTCGAACAAGTGCTTTTGCTTGATAATTGGATGTCAGTACAAGTTTCAATATCCTGTGGTTTTTTTTTTCTTTCTTTCTTTCTTAATTTGTAAACCTTTTTTTTCTGTTTCTTTTTCATTTTTGTGGAGAGTTTTTTTTTTTTTTTTTTGGGGGGGGGGGGGCGTAATTGTTTGATTTGTTCATTTGATTATTTCATACACAAGTAAAACAAAGGAAAATTCGAGAGGTGAAGAAAAGTATGAATATAGTTACATAATCGGCTATCGTCAATAACATGAACGCCCCTTTAACTCTCCCCCACCCTCAAACACACATCTCCGACCGGCGGTAGAACCACGATGAAAAGCGAGTCCAAACATAAGAGACTGATGATATATGAATGTAAGTACACTCGCACTATATATATCTGCATGTAATAAAATGAAAAATAATTGCAGAACTGTTGAATGTTTAACAAAAACCCTCCATACTGAAGAGTTTCCTGCTAACTTTTTTAAAATACACAATTGTAATTTTGACAACAAAAAACAAAAAAAAACAGACAAACGTCACTGCATTCATTTTCTTTTTGTTTACTTGTATGTTGACAATACATCTATACATCTTTTGTATTGTGCACATTTTTACAGTATATTAGTACCGAAAAAAGTACTGAGTTTAATTTAGAGTTACCTCCCCCTTGACTAGTTGTTGATATGAAATAGAGAGCGGCCATGACAACCTTTGACATTGCATACTTGTAGAAAAAGTCCTCTAAAAAAATTCAGTCAAGTTGAACATGAAGCAGAAGGGAGAAAAAAATCACATAATGAGAAAAATGATTTATTCGGTTGAAGTTTAAATGTGTGAATTGCCCTCACACCCCGCTCACAAAAAAGAAAGAATAAATAAAAAAAAAACCTATCACTTCCTTTATTCTTAGGTTGTATTTTAATCAAATATTATTTTTCAAGAATTTTAATCAGTTCAAAAAATTTGTGCGTGAAAGTAAAATGATATATCTTTAATATTTCCTTACTAAAAATAATTTTCCCAAAAGGCAACTGCATAAATGTTAGAAATAGTATACTCTTAAGGAATAAAATGAAGCAAAAAATGAAACATGATAATTTGAATGAAATTTTTTTTTAAAAGAACAGTGCAAAGTGAAGAGAAAAGAAAAGGGCAGCGTAGGGCTCAGCTATATTTAGTTTGATAACTGATGTACAACAATTGTAGATTCTTTTTGAACAAATTGGGTAGCCCTTAAAAGGGCTTTTGGTGGCTGAATAGCCTCTGCAGACTGAAGTGGAGCCGTTTACTTCTTCTTTGGTGTCTTCCTGGCTTTTGGTTTAGCTGCCTTCTTTTTAGCTGGTGACTTGGCTGCCTTCTTTGGCTTGGCTGCTTTCTTTGCTGCTGGTTTCTTAGGTGTGCTCTTTGCTTTTTTAGGCTTGGCGGCCTTAGGTTAAGCTGCTTTCTTTGCCTTTGCTGGCTTCTTTTTAGCATGTTTTGCCTCTCCAATGATTTCTGAACGATCCTGATGCTCCAGTTCCCTTGGACTACTTCAAACTGTTGTTCTTAACTCCGTAGGTGTGCTCTTTGCTTTTTTAGGCTTGGCGGCCTTAGGTTAAGCTGCTTTCTTTGCCTTTGCTGGCTTCTTTTTAGCATGTTTTGCCTCTCCAATGATTTCTCAACGATCCTGATGCTCCAGTTCCCTTGGACTACTTCAAACTGTTGTTCTTAACTCCGGCTCTGAGTGCAAGTTTTAAATGAGCGTTTACTGACTTGGCATCTTTTCCGACGTTGAAGTTGGCCATGATGTACTTCAAAAATGCTTGCCTTGAGGAACCCCCACGTTCTTTCAAAGGTTGGATAAACTGTGTATTTTTCGATGAACACAGTAGAAAGATATTAATAGTTAAAGTAGAACCGACTGATTTGTCTTCGCAGGTATGTTGACAGAAAATTTACGAGTTTTTCTCAATAGAAAAATATTCTACCGTCGTAAAATTGTGCAACGGAAGAAATATCAATTCTCTACAGGTTTCTTTCCGTTTTTATTCACTGGACGTATGTTACTAGTCGTAAGTAGTTTGTTTTCAGCTGGAGGGAAACACACAAAAAGTCCACGCGCCATTGTTTGGTTGCAAATTTTTACGAAAACTTCAAAAAACATTTTTATTCAACCTAAGCGAAATTTCACAGACATTATAGATTCGAATGAATAAAACCAATATCTAGAATATGTATTTGAAATGTCGTTTAATTTAATCTAGCTTTGGGAACTTTTCAGACAGCGACTTTATGTTCAGTGGATCAGAGGCACTAGAAAACTGTGCTGTATGATGCGTCTCTGCTTTAATTTCCATTTGCATGTAAAATTTTAGAACTTCGTTGTCGAAAACTCGAATATGTCTTGTTGAATATATCATATTTTTCAAAAAATATGTGTAATTAATTTTATTATCAATAAACGATGGTCCGCGTGCTCGAACTGGCCACCTGAAAGTTTCAATACAAAAAAACCCAACCAAACCCAAGATTCTTGTATTTTCATAATTCAAAAGTTGTACACATCATTTGCATCTAAATTAACAATTACAAAGGTTCATCTATCTTTTAAAAAAGGGGGATGTGTGTCACGGTGAAGACTCTGGCCATAAGTATGCATTTTACCTATATAGGCTAGGCAAGTATAAGACCAAAATCAGTACAGGGTGAAGCAGCATACACACGGACGATTCAAAAGAGACAGAAAGACAAAAATCACGTCTATGTTAACCATTAGACTTGGGGCAAAAATAGTCTCCACTGCATTTAACTGAAGCCCCCCCCCCCCCCCCCCAAAAAAAAATCCCGAGGAAAGGGGGGGTATATATTTTCAAAGAATGATAGTTGGACTGAAATATTTGTTAACTATTGCAACATTAACAAGCAGATTTAATGTAAAAAGATGCCAAAACCAAGATTGAAACGAAGAAAAAGATATTCTCCGTTAAAAAAGTAAATAAATAGGGTTCTCTATTGTCTCGGTTGATTTCTGTGAAGGCCAATTAGCATGGCGTTTAATGGATGTCAGTACAAGTTTCAACATGCTGTGTTTATTTTTTTCTTTCTTACTTTGTAAACCTTTTTTCTGTTTCTTTTTCATTTTTGCTGAGTTTTTTTTTGTTTTTTTTAGGGGGGGGGGGGGGGGGGGGTAATTGTTTGACATGAAATTTAGTTGTTTATGAATAGAAAACACACTTTAGTATAAAATCAAAAGTACTATTTAGGTCGTCTTTTATTCCCAGCATGATGGAACTATTTTCTACATGTTAGGACCAACCCCATGGTGTTGACAACCAGTAGAAATTTAAAACTATTCTAGTTCTCTCTTAGTCGTATCAAATCCAGAAAAAAAATAAGAATCAATTTCTATCAAACGTGAATCCTAACCCTCTTTCCAGCTATAGTTAGAAACGTAAATAACAGGACAAGTTTGGCATGTTCCTTGGGACAGAAACCCAACAACACCAGATCGATAGATTTTACATTTTCAATAGAGGACTTAATCTATAATCAAATATTTCATTCTTGGGCTTTTTATTACTTTCTATCTCCTTTTTTATTTTCTTCTTTAAATGTTTTGTGAATTATCATATTTGAAGCTATTCTTTTCATATTGACATTAAATGCCTTTTCTCTATCTCAATATAAAGTATTTATCACAAATGAAGTGAAATATTTTGGCGAAAAGAGGTGTGTTTGGTGTCCGGGGGTTGGGGTAGTCTTAATTGAAAACGGCAGCAACAAACGTTTCTCAATGTATACACAAATAAGCGCATTTAATACTGTCAGTCACACGTTGTCTGTATATACTAGTAGACTTTGTTTTTCTGTGTCGTTAAGTTGCTGTCATTTCAATATGAAAAATAAGGAGATGTGGTATGATTGCAAATGAGACAACTATCCACCAAAGTTCAAATGAATGGATGTAATTAATTATATATAGGCAACCGTACGGCCTTCAACAATTAGAAAAACCGATAATGTATAGTCGGCTATAAAAGGCCCCAACATGAAAAATATGAAACAAATCTTCTGTTATATTCGAATCCTACCATTTCGTGCACAATCCTTTAAAATGCATGATACATGTTATCAAAAAAATAAACCCTTTTCTTACCTTTTGTACAAATGTCCGTCCATCCTTGTTTTAGTTCATAACAGTAGACATGCTCCGTATGTGACGTCACTGTATTGTTTCTGGTTTATTCATCTCGCGTGCTTTGAACAGATTAAAATGACATAACAAAGACACAGACAAGTCGTCAAAACACTAAAAACAGAGAGAAAAAAGAAGAGAAAACAAACAGGACAACCCATTTGAAAGAAACATAAAAGCAAGTATGTGCATTTATTTCATACACGAGTAAAACAAAGGAAAATTCGAGAGGTGAAGAAAAGTATAAATATGGTTACATAATCAGCTATCGTCAATAACATGAACGCCCCTTTAACTCTCCCCCACCCTCAAACACACATCTCCGACCGGCGGTAGAACCACGATGAAAAGCGAGTCCAAACATAAAAGACTGATGATACATGAATGTAAGTACACTCGCACTATATATAGCTGCATGTAATAAAATGAAAAATAATTGCAGAGCTATTAAATGTTTAACAAAAACCTCCATACTTTAGAGTTTCCTACTAATTTTTTAAAAATACACAATTGTAGTAATTTTGACCAAAAAAAAAACAAAAAATAAATAACAGACGAACGTCACTGCATTCATTTTCTTTTTGTTTACTTGTATGTTGACAATACATCTATACATCTTTTGAATTGTGCACATTTTTACAGTATATTAGTACCGAAAAAAGTACTGAGTTTAATTTAGAGTTACCTCCCCATTGACTAGTTTTGATATGAAATAGAGAGCGGCCATGGCAACCTTTGACATTGCATACTTGTAGAAAAAGTCCTCTAAATATTTCAGTCAAGTTGAGCATGAAGAAGAAGGGAGAAAAAAATCACATAATGAGAAAACTGATTTATTCGGTTGAAGTTTAAATGTGTGATCCCACCCCTCCAAAAAAAGAGAATAAATAAAAAAAACTATCACTTCCTTTATTCTTAGGTTGTATTTTAATCGAATATTGTTTTGAAAGAATTTTAATCAGTTCAAAAAATATGTGTGTGAAAGTAAAATGATGTATCTTTAATATTTCCTTACTAAAAATAATTTTCCCAAAAGGCAACTGCATAAATGTTAAAAATAGTATACTCGTTAGGAGTGAAATGAAGCAAAAAAAGGAAATAATTTGAGTGAAAAAAATTTTCAAAGAACAGTGCAAAGTGAAGAGAAAAGAAAAGGGCAGCGTAGGGCTCAGCTATATTTAGTTTGATAACTGATGTACAACAATTGTAGATTCTTTTTGAACAAATTGGGTAGCCCTTAAAAGGGCTTTTGGTGGCTGAATAGCCTCTGCAGACTGAAGTCTGAAACAGTTTACTTCTTCTTTGGTGTCTTCTTGGCTTTTGGTTTAGCTGCCTTCTTTTTAGCTGGTGACTTGGCTGCCTTCTTTGGCTTGGCTGCTTTCTTTGCTGCTGGTTTCTTAGCTTTAGGTTTGGCTGCCTTTTTCTCTCCAGCTGGTTTCTTTGCTGCCTTCATTTTCTTAGGTGTGCTCTTTGCCTTCTTAGGCTTGGCGGCCTTAGGTTTAGCTGCTTTCTTTGCCTTTGCTGGCTTCTTTTTAGCTTGTTTTGCCTCTCCAATTCTGAAAGATCCGGATGCGCCAGTTCCCTTGGACTGCTTCAAACTGTTGTTCTTAACTCCGGCTCTGAGTGCAAGTTTTAAATGAGCGTTTACTGACTTGGCATCTTTTCCGACGTTGAAGTTGGCCATGATGTACTTCAAAATTGCTTGCCTTGATGAACCTCCACGTTCTTTCAAAGCGGCGATGGCTTTCCCAATCATCTCGCTGTATTTAGGATGTGCTGAAGGCTTCTTTGGCTTGGCTGCTGCCTTTTTCTTTGGTGATTTAGCTGGTGCTGGTGCTGCTACGTCTGCCATTTTGAACGATTCAAAGTATTATCCTTTATGAAGTTTACACTACGAATAACGATTTGAAAATAACGCCATTTCAGGCCTCGTATAGTTTATAATAGACGAACGCGGACCTCGACGAAGACACCCTTAAAATAACTTGTAAAATCCATTACACGATCTCGGTAAAATGATTATGTGCTTCTTCGAAGACTTTTATCATAATTTTTAGTATAATTCTATCAAAAACATTCACATATAGCATATCAAATTGCTCAACAGTCATTAATCTTGCAGGTTAGATAAACTGTGTATTTTTCAATGAACACAGTAGAAAGATATTAATAGTTAAAGTAGAACCGACTGATTTGTCTTCAAAGGTATGTTGACAGAAAATTTACGAGTTTTTCTCAATAGAAAACTATTCTACCGTCGTAAAATTGTGCAACGGAAGAACTATCAATTCTCTATAGGTTTCTTTCCGTTTTTATTCACTGGACGTATGTTACTCGTCGTAATAAGTTTGTTTTCAGCTGGAGGGAAACACACAAAAAGTTCACGCGCCATTGTTTGGTTGCAAATTTTTACGAAAACTTCAAAAAACATTTTAATTCAACCTGAGCGAAATTTCACAGACATTCTAGATTCGAATGAATAAAACCAATATCTAGAATATGTATTTGAAATGTCGTTTAATTTAATCTAGCTTTGGGAACTGTTCAGAGAGCGACTTTATGTTCAGTGGATCAGAGGCACTAGAAAACTGTGCTGTATGATGCGTCTCTGCTTTTATTTCCATTTGCA